ATGTGATGTTTGCCAGTGCAAAACAAGTTGCCATGACACAAGTCAAGCCTTGTCCTTGTACTCGTCCAGGTTTTTACTAATCACACATTATCTTCATATATATTTGTGCGTTTACACGTTCATGTTTTTGAATGCATGCTAAAATCCTACCTTTATCTTTTTTCTCACAGGCAGTGCAGGGAACAGGCTTGGCCTTCATCGCCTTCACTGAAGCCATGACCCATTTCCCAGCCTCACCTTTTTGGTCCGTCATGTTCTTCCTTATGTTGGTCAATCTGGGGCTGGGCAGCATGTTCGGCACTATCCAGGGCATCCTCACCCCCATTGTGGACACCTTCAAAATACGGAAGGAATACCTCACAGGTCAGTCAAAGAGTAAAACTCATTACTCTGCTATATGGAGAAAAGACAGCATCCTTTAGTTCATATTTGCTTAAGTTTCAGAATATAATAGATCTATCTCTGAAGCCTATTCTACTGAAGATTTGCATGAATTAAGTTTAGCCGAACTATTCCTGTCATCACAAGGCTTCACCAACAAGGAATTCTATAGTCAGTGGTGGAAAGGTATTAAGGTTTTCAATGACCTGAGTCTATTCAAATATAAATAAGTAATAACAATAATCAAATACTAAAATGATGTGTAAGTCAAGGCAAGAACATTCTCAAAGAAAAATACCAATATAAACGGCTCTGTTTGCACTACCATTCAAAAGTTCAAGGCTACATTTATTATTTATTTATAACCTGAAATACAGTGAAATATTATTACAATTATAATAAGTATTTTCAATTCTAATTTATTTAAAATTGTAATTTAATTCTGTGATGGCAAAGCCGAATTTTTAGCAGCCGTTACTTCATTCTAGTCATTAATCATTCTAATTTGGTTCTCACGAAACGTCTTATTATAATCAAAGTTGATAACAGTTGTCCTGCTTAATATTTTTGTGGAAACCGTGATAAAGTTGTTCACCCCTCCTTATTTCAACTTTTTCTCTGCTTTCTTTACAGTTGGTTGCTGTGTACTTGCCTTCTGTATTGGTTTAATATTTGTGCAGCGATCTGGGAACTACTTTGTAGCCATGTTTGACGACTATTCCGCTACTCTGCCTCTTCTCATCGTGGTTCTTCTGGAGAACATTGCTGTGGCCTGGGTGTATGGCACCGACAAGTATGTTACGCACTCTTCCTCTATTAGAGCGCTTACAGCGCACTCTGGTGACATGAGATTCATATTGCTATGATTATTTGTTGTCAAGTGTATATAAAAAATTCAATTCAAGTTATGGTCACATACCAACCAATGAAAAATGAAATTATAATTTTAAAAAATAATAATTACAAAAACCCCATAGATAGCGAATGCTAATCTAATTTGAATTTATTGTGGTATTGACACTCTAATTAAATCATCTTGATTGAAACTCCCAGAAAAAAAAGGCCAAAAAGCAATTTGAAAATTTAATATATCTGAAAAAAAAATCATATTTTAAAAAATGTATTGAGCTAAAAATAGGCCAAACATTTGTGGTTTTGTTTAGAGAGGAACACATTCCATTCAGACTTTATTTTGTAGATTGTATTTTTTTTTTTTTTGTAAATTTAAAACATATGTAAGACTAAAGTTAAAATCAGTCACTGAAGTAAGACAATTAAGCTACTAAATAATGAACTTCATATTGATATTATCAGAAGTATTTGTTGTCAACTATATATATATATATATTTATTGAAATTTGAAATTCAAGTTTGTTACGATTACACACTAACCAAAGAAAAATAAATGTAGTTATAATTATATTACATATAAAATGTGTGTGTGTGTATATATATATATATATATATATAT